CCCCAGTCTGGAAGTGAGCGCCGACTCGCTTTCCTCCTTCACCCATTGCTCCTTCTGAAAGTCTTTCTCACGCTGTCCTACTGGCCCCGCCACACTGCCGTGAAGGACAAGCGTCCTGGAAGCCTGTCGCGGCTGGGATGCGCCAGCTCTGGGCGCTCAGCTCCTGAAACTTGCAGCTTCCGGTGCCAGGGAGCGAGTGCCGGCTGGGTTCTGGGGGCCGGCGGGCTGAGAGTGCGGGATTAGGATGTGTGCGGGTTTGTTTTTTCAACTGGGGGCTAGAGAAAGCGGTTTTTTAAATAAATTTTTTTTATTTTTAACGTGTTCGATGGCTTCGTATTTTTAATAATCTCTTTACCCCCTTTTCTTCCTTTTCTGTCCTTTTGGTTTGTCCAGAATTATGTCCCTACGGTGTTTGAGAATTACACTGCCAGTTTTGAAATCGACACACAAAGAATAGAGTTGAGCCTGTGGGACACTTCGGGTAAGAGTATGCGTGGCGCTGGGGCGGGCTGGCAGCGGCGACTGGCGCGGGACCCGGTGGTCCACTAAGGTGGCCCCTCCGAGGGATTCCCACGGCCCCGGCCTCGGGAAATTTTTTAGTCTTTCTGGGCAGGGGCAGGGATCACAGAGGGGATGGAGGGTGGTGCTCAGAGGAGGACGCTGTGTGCCAGGAGGTGACCTGCGGGAGGAGCCGCCAGTGGCCGCGTGGCTGCTGCTGGCGGTGCTTCGGGGCCATGCCTTGGCCGCCAGGGTGGCGGGGTGCAAGGGCCGAGCCGCTTGGAGTCTGCCGGCTCTTGGAGGCCCCTTCGTGGGTGTCACCAGCCATCTGGCCGCGCGTCGGGGGCACAGGCTGCCGAGCTGGCAGAGGATCCCCAAGCCCCCGGAGCGACCCGGTTGCGTGCGGATTCCACGCTTGGGGAGAGTTGGGTGAAGTAGTGGCCGCCGACCCGTGACGCCTACCGTCAGGAATGCGCTGGCGCGGGCAGCAAGAACCCACACCGCCCGGCCCCCACAGCCTCCGAGCCACCCGCGCCGGGCCTCCTCAGCGCCCACCCAGGGATCACGCGGAGCCCACTCTCGCAGCACGCCGGCCCACATCCCAATTGCATCATCCTCCGCCCGCCCGCGATGCCGGGGGCAGCACCACTCGCCTTTGACCTTCTTATCTACTTGAATTATTGGCGCCGTGGTGGGTTCTGTCTAAAGGTCTGCGGTTCAAGGCCCGGTTATTGCCTTCCCAGGCGCCCACCCACCTCCTTGGCGCACCGTGGTGGGGAGGGTCAGGTCTCCGCGGGTGGGAAGGCTTGCAGCCTCGGCTGCAGGGGCAGGGACAGTGGGAGCAGAGCACCCCTAGGACCCAGGCTCTCCCAGCCCTGGCTCAGTGGCGCCCTTGAAAAGCGCCTGCTCTTTGCAGAGACTAGGAGCTGGAGCCACCGGGAGGAAAGGGAAAGACCTGTGCGCGCAGGGAATGGACTGCTGGTGCACTGAGGCAGATCTGGGCGAAACTGGCGAGGAGGCGCGCACAAGCGCCAACACGCCGAATTGCTGTCAGGCGGGTGGCCCCGAGGTGGAGCCGCGCTCAGCTGGGAGTGGCCTCGTGGAGGAGCTTCCTGAGCTTCCCACACCCTGGGCAGAAACCTCTGGAACCTCTGAGGCGCTTGGGGGACTTAGGCAGCGGGAGGAAGGGGCCAGACTGATTAGGTTGCCAGAGGCAGGCCGAGCACAAAGGCTAGAGGGAAGTCTCGCACGAGCGCCTCTCACGGTCCGTGCCAGACACTCTACAGCTGCAGCTAGAGGGATGGATCTAGTTTCTCCCGGGAGAGTCAGACTCTTCCTTGAGCTGCTCCAAGGGTGTTTAGTGTTTTGCGTTGGGATTCAAAGACTACACACTAGAGAAAGTGTTATTGTAGTGATTTGTTTCAGTAGTTTCTATCATCAGAGTTATTACATAGCCTAGTATTTTATTAAGTTCCAAGTCTCAGTCGTATCATGGTAATTGTTATGCCTAGTAAACAGGACCTAGCTGGTGGAACAATTAGTACCAGTACGCCCACTCTCCTACCGAGTCCAGTTTGGACTCCATGCTTGATAAGAATTATTTAGACGTGAGGTGGAGCAGAGGGTCTGATCCAGTCTTTGATGCAAAGCTGCGTTTAGATCTTAGCTCTTGGTTACCATTTCTGTGTGCAAATCCTCTATCACCCTGGATCTCATTTTCATCATCTGTGAAAAGAAGACACCAAGCTGGGTAATGTGGGAGATCTCTCCAGGCTGCCTACTTCTTGGCTTTAGCATACTGGACAGGCGGATCTTTGTGTTTCCCAGGATGTTGGTTAGTTTCAGTTCCCAGTCTCGGTGATCTGGCATCCCGGATTGGGGCTCTCAAAGCCTGCAAACGAAGCCAGATTCTGGACTGAGCCAGGCTTCCTGGTGGATTCAGGAATGAGACTATTTGGATAAGGAGGGGGATGGGTGAGCTCAGGAATGCTGGATTCTACATCCCAGTCTCAAACTCCAGAGTCACAAGACCACCAACAGAGATTTTAGATTAGGTGCCCAAGGGGCAAAATTGCCACCCCTCCCCTGTTAGGAGAGAAAAGGCACATGCTTTTCAAAAGCTAGCAAATAAATAAATACGAACAGTTTATGATCGATCGGAAGCCAATGTGACTATCACTTCATCTATTTCTCAAGCATTAATCAAAACTGTATATAGTTAGTTCATGGACTCTGCACATACAGCAGAATGCCCTGCACACAGTAGTCACCCAATAAAACCTGAGGAATGAGCAAATTAATAAGGCTATGCATAGTTTCCAAGGAGATGAGTGAGGTTTCTGACATTTATTAGTGCCTTAAGGTTAGCAACTTCATAAGTACTGCTTTTCATCAAGTTAAAGAAAATCACCTGAAATGAAATCAATAGTGGAATAATTATCTGTATTTTTATTTAGTGAAAGAAAAACCTATACTTATTTATGCAAAATTATAAAGGTTTGAAAACTTGATTGCCAAAATATTGCACTGCAAAATTATCCAGTTATGAAATCTTAGAGTTTAGATTTATACAAGCAGAAAAGAGAAATCTTAGAATTTAGATTTATACAAGCAGAAAAGAGACATAAGGGAAGATTTGGAATTCCATTATGTTGTTTGTGAGGTGAGATGTTAGTTAATTAAACACAGTTACCAAACATGCTTAGATTCTAAGAATAACCTGTTTCCGCCAAAAGTGGATTGACTTTCACGATTCAAATGCTTTTAGGAGGAACCATTGCATTAGCAACTACTGGTTTCTAATATATTTAACGCTTTTCTTAATTCACCCCAAGCTTGTCCTGTCAACTTCTGAACAAGATTTTTTAAAACTATTGTTTGACATGTTCTTTGCCCACAAAGACATTTGTTTAGTTCAGGTGTAAAATAATTGCACATACCCTATGCTTCTTCGTACACTTGATTTTTCCCACCTGCTATCAGCTTATCTCTGGAGACAAGATCCAAGCCAAGAGCATAAAGTCCTAAATGTCATTTTGTATTCTCTTCCTAGACTGTGTGAAAGAGATTTATATGGAGAAAATTAGATATATATAGAGAGAAAAACGTGGTGCCTTGGGTGGCATTGCTGTCCTATTCAACCTTTCGACATAAGCAGCCTTTTAGGAAACAAGCATGTCGTCTCATATTCGCACTCCCTGTGAGAACCACAATTCCTAAGGGGTCTGCTTTCCTGGAGGCAGTCATATGAGTCATATGATCACACATAAGCAAAACAGCCAATTTGGATAGCACGTGGAAGCAGGATATGAGAAAAGGAAATTATTCACTTCTCACTTTTGAGGCCCAGGCACTACAACATTTCCTTTCTTTCTCCTCTGCTTCCTTTTTCTGATACCTACTATAAACAGGTCACTAGGCCTGAGGATGCACTGCTATCTTGCTGCCAGCCTACCAGGCCCCTCTTATAGTCTAATTCTTGAACTCTTAAGGCCTTGTTTCACCTGGTTGCCCATGTGTTTCTTTATGAGGCTACCCCAGAGTCTTGGAGAGCCTCTAGAGCCTCTGGGGGCAGGGATGGACAGTTTCCTTGTCTTCCTCAAGTGCTCAGCCATTAAAGCAACCACAAGTAGCAGCTGATTTCTTGTGGCTACTTAAAAGTTTTCCAAAGTTACGACCTTTTTAACAAGTGTCATGGAAGTCATCTGCCAATGGGAGATATTTAAAGGTAGTTTGGGGCCCATATTTTCCTTATTTTACAGAGAAATATTTTTATTGTAAAATGAGTAATTTTATTAATAGCTATAGAAATGCTCTGCAAGATTTTCAGATTCTCCAGATGAGTTTCTATACAAAAAGGATAATAGTTTGGACTTTAAAATGATCAGTAAGGCCAAAGTAATTCTCATAGTTTGTGCTTCAAAATCTGCCATATTTGCCAAGTGTAGAAGCAATTTGTAGCATGAAGCCAAATGCCTACTAATAATAGAAACTTAGTCATTTAAAGATCACCATATCTGTTCCTAGGAAACTTGATTGCAGTATAATTTCAGCACACATGATTTAGGGAGTAATAGTCATTCGTGCCAGCTTTTAACTAAGGCAAGTTAATGCACATTTTATTTAAGGCGGATTATTAGTTTTAAAATATTCAGTTCAGCTGCTCAGATTCCCTGTAATAACTGTGCTGCTGGCCCATGAACACTCTTTTGAATCTTGCCATGATACAAACTTCTTTTAGGCTATGGGTGTTCAAGCCAGCACTTCCTGTATTAGTTTCTCAAATTATTAGCACAGAATGTAATAGTCTTTGCATTGTATATTTAAAGGAATAGAGAAGAAGGAAAAATCTTAGTTACCTTATCACTTTGCATTGAGGACAATATCCTACATAAGCATAAATCTGACCACAGTGTTATATTTATAGCCTTCATATCAAATTTGAAGGCTGGTTTTGGTGATAAAAGTGTCCTAGTAAAATATTCCTCAGCATAATGGAGATGTTTCAGCAGTTTTAGAAATTAGTGTATAATTAATCAAGAAAAGCAGCTTAAAAAGACATCACTGGTCTCTTATTTATGATTTAAAGTATAAATGAACACATTAGTGTAAGGCTTAAAGATATGATTACAAAACTAGTAAACTGATATTAAGGGCATGCTGTCAGCAAACACTGCTGGTGCTGTGGGCAGGGGGTGGAATGGTACAGTGGTACACTGGGCAGGAGCAGTTTCTGCCCTCAGTGTACTCAGTCCAGTTAGGGTGGTACAACAAAACTATTGAAAATGTGGGTGAATATACAATTTAAAATACATTGACTTTGTCCAAGGTAAAGTAAGAAATCAGATGAAGAGCCTAGATTAAGTTTCAGAGGTCTAACTGGGAAGAATTGTCAGTTAACTTGAACTTAAACAGGGTGAGGAATCCTTTCCAAGGCATCTTTTGAATACTATTAGGACAAACAGGAGAGCATGGAAACATTTC